GGGGGTTTTAGGCAACCTGTTATAAATTCACTGTAAACCACGGCTTCTTGGGGCTTATTGCTTTATTTTAAATGATGTAGCACATAGCACAAGTTATATCTGTTTTTTTTGTTTTTTTTTTGCAGGAAGTCCGTTTTCTCTCTGAATGAGCTGGGGCAGCCGAATGGGAACGCAGGAGGAGGTGCAGCGTCTGCAGAAGGCGAGGACCTGCCGGCTCCACATGAACTTGGAGAGGAGCTGAAATTCACTGGCCGGTAGCATCTACTGGACCTGCTCAACTTCTAGTTATAGAAATTACATGACGTCTGAGACTCTTTCTGTTTGTGTAGATTTTGTGGAGGACTGTGGCTGGACATCAAGCGTAAAGTGCCCGGGTTTCTCAGTGACTTCTATGAGGGCTTCCACATCCAGTCCGTCTCTGCGGTGCTCTTCATTTACCTGGGCTGCATCACCAATGCAATCACCTTTGGAGGACTGCTGGGGGACGCAACCGACAACTACCAAGTAATTTACCTTACACTTATATCTAGAGAGCTGATATAATACCATTATTTTGTTATATTCAACATGATGCTCAAAACAGCCAAATATGAAGCAATTAACTGGCCTGGCCAATATACTGTTCTATTATTGTATCATTTCAGAGTAAAAATTAAAAAAGCTTATCATGAAAAAAAGTTTAAAATTAGACATTTTATAAGAAAAAAAAAATTAAGAGAATTATGAGAAATAAAGTTGCAAAATCATATTGTGGTATATAAAGTCACAGTTTTTTTCTCTATATGGACATATTGAAGCCCAATTCTGCCACATATTTTAAAAAATCTTGCTTTGGAAAGTCATAATAGTAGAAAATATGACATAAGGCAAAATTATGAGATAAAAGGACAAAATTATGAGATCAAAACTTTTGACTTTTTATGTCAGAATTGACTTTTTGTTATATTATCAACATTTTATAATTATGACTTGGTATGTCATAATTTACACTTCATCTCTTAAGTATGACTTAGTATTTTGTCATTTCGACTTTAGATTATGTCATAATTTCAATATTTTATCATCATTTTGAAGTCGTAATCTTTTTATCTCAATTTTATGACTTGGTATCTTATCATTTTTAGGGATGCGCCGATCCGATATTCATATCGGGTATCGGCTCCGATACTGCCATTTTTGTTGGATCGGGTATCGGTCAAAGAGGGCCGATCCAAATCCGAGATTGTGCGTATTATTCTGTGTTACTTCTGAAGCCATACGATAGCTTAAAGGGTTACTCCACCCCAAAATGAAAATTTTGTCATTAATCACTTACCCCCATGTCGTTCCAAACCCGTAAAAGCTTCATTCGTCTTCGGAACACAATTTAAGATATTTTGGATGAAAACCGGGAGGCTTGTGACTGTCCCATTGACTGCCAAGTAAATTACACTGTCAAGGTCCAGAAAAGTATGAAAGACATCGTCAGAATAGTCCATCTGCCATCAGTGGTTCAACTGTAACCGTTATGAAGCGACCATAATACTTTTTGTACGCGAAGAAAACAAAAATAACTACTCTCTCCAAGATCATTCTGTGTTCCCATTATTATACTTGATTTGTAAATAAATGTCTATGATTTGGCAAAAAGGACTTTATCTTCTTGCCGGAGTTTAGTGTTGTTTTGTTACTTGCTACCGGGTGTCTGTGAGAACAAAACACGGGCGTAGAAAAGACTATAGATTGTTTTTAACGCGCACAGTAACTGAAATTTAAAACGGTTAAAAGAAAGGCTCAGTAACTGTTGCACAGATATAATACACTATGCATCAATTTCTCTTCCCTTTGTGCTTTGCACTTTTTAATGCAAAGCGTTGCGTGCTATGACTCCGTGTTGCTTCAAGCGAATCATTCTGCATACCGGATGCGCATATTGTAAGCGCTTCGTGCCGCACTGAATTTGTTTTGTCCTATCGAATCTATCATATGTTGTTGCCTTATTAAAAAAAATATTCTATACATTCAAAAGAAACGTATTTTAATTTTATACAGGAAAAGAACAATATAAAAACGCACTAAGTATTAATGAGCTACTGGATTCATGAATATTAATCATGGCACAACAATGGGCCTCAGGATCTCGTCACGGTATCTCTGTGCATTCAAAATGCCATCAATAAAATGCACCTGTGTTCGTTGTCCATAACATACGCCTGCCCATACCATAACCCCACCGCCACCATGGGCCACTCGATCCACAACGTTGACATCAGCAAACCGCTCACCCACACGACGCCATACACGCTGTCTGCCATCTGCCCTGTACAGTGAAAACCGGGATTCATCCGTGAAGAGAACACCTCTCCAAAGTGCCAGACGCCATCGAATGTGAGCATTTGCCCACTCAAGTCGGTTACGACGACGAACTGCAGTCAGGTCGAGACCCCGATGAGGACGACGAGCATGCAGATGAGCTTCCCTGAGACGGTTTCTGACAGTTTGTGCAGAAATTCTTTGGTTATGCAAACCGATTGTTGCAGCAGCTGTCCGGGTGGCTGGTCTCAGACGATCTTGGAGGTGAAGATGCTGGATGTGGAGGTCCTGGGCTGGTGTGGTTACACGTGGTCTGCGGTTGTGAGGCTGGTTGGATGTACTGCCAAATTATCTGAAACGCCTTTGGAGACGGCTTATGGTAGAGAAATGAACCTTCAATTCACGGGCAACAGCTCTGGTGGACATTCCTGCAGTCCGCATGCCAATTGCACGCTCCCTCAAAACTTGTGACATCTGTGGCATTGTGCTGTGTGATAAAACTGCACATTTTAGAGTGGTCTTTTATTGTGGCCAGCCTAAGGCACACTTGTGCAATAATCATGCTGTCTAATCAGCATCTTGATATGCTACACCTGTGAGGTGGATGGATTATCTCGGCAAAGGAGAAGTGCTCACTAACACAAATTTAGACAGATTTGTGAACAATATTTGAGAGAAATAGGCCTTTTGTGTACATAGAAAAAGTCTTAGATCTTTGAGTTCAGCTCATGAAAAATGGGGGCAAAAACAAAAGTGTTGCGTTTATAATTTTGTATACATAGGCCTATATTTTTTCATATTTATTGTTTATTTTATTTTTCTTTATAATTTAGTAGTCTGTATCTAGTAGATTGTGAAAGAATGATTATCAGTTCCACACACAGAGATATATAAATTCTACATTTATTTAAATGGAGAAAAAAAAAAAAAACTTCACTGGTATCGGATCAATATCGGTATCGGCCAATACTGAACCCTAGGTATCGGAATCGGTATCGGAGGTGAAAAAGGAGGATCGGAGCATCCCTAATAATTTTGACTTTTTATGTCATAATTGTCATAATATGACACAATAATTATGCATTATTAAGAGTTTATTGCCAAGTATGTTTACACACACAAGGAATTAGTCTTGGCGACAGGAGCTTCCAGTGCAGAAGAAAGTACAGATGTAGTGCAAACATACATGAGAGTGCAGACATACATAGGAATTGCACAGTAGAGATGAAATATAACACTAATATAAGAAAAACAAAAAATTAAGTAATGCAATATAATACAGAACTAGAAATGTAGAGAAAAAACATATATAAATATTTTAATAAACCAGGCTTCTTAAAATGTCTTTTACTAAATTTAAATTAAAAAATCATATTTTAAATTAAAGTTTCATTAAATTTATTGAAAAAGCATTTGAAATTTGAAAAGTGTTTCAAAATTTATTTGAAAAGGTCTTTCTGTTCCTTTATTTGCTTTTTCCCTACTTTATCAGTGAGAGTTTTCTGTCTGCATGTCCTGTCATTTTTGGATATGTCTCATTGACTTTCAGGGTGTGATGGAAAGCTTTTTGGGCACGGCTTTGGCCGGCGTGGTCTTCTGCCTCTTCGGTGGTCAACCCCTCATTATCCTCAGCTCTACAGGACCGATACTGATCTTTGAAAAGCTGCTGTATGAATTCAGCATGTGAGCAGGACAGCCTGTCATATAGTAAAGTCAAAATGCATGTCATAAATTCATCAAAATAAGTGAGTCATAATCGGTAAGAAATAAGTGAGAATGATTGTCGTCTGTTCAGAAACAATGACATAGACTACATGGAGATCCGGCTCTGGATCGGCCTGCACTCCTGCCTCCAGTGTCTGATCCTGGTGGCCACAGACGCCAGCTACATCATCAAGTACATGACGCGCTTCACCGAGGAGGGCTTCTCCAGCCTCATCTCCTTCATCTTCATCTCTGACGCCCTTAAGAAAATGATGAGCATCTTCAATTATTACCCCATCAATCGAGACTTCAAGCCAGATTACATCACCAGCTACAGGTGTGAGTGCCAGGCTTCTGATCAAGGTGAGTCTGAACCCTGACCCAACGAGCCTCAACCTCAGGCAGGCTTGGTGGAATTATTCTGTTCAAGTATGACCCTATTTACTTTCTTAATTTGTATAATTTTACTTTTTTATATATAATACTTTATATTTACTTTATATTTTTATATCTTGATTCATCAGTGCATGTTATTCCTATTATATTTATTAATAGTTATTAATAAATAATAATAATAGTAATAATGTAGTTTTATTTTCCCCCCAAAAGTTAATAATAATAATAATAATAATAATAATATGATGTTTCAAATGATTCAAATGTAATTATTCTTCATAATAAATTATTATAATTATTATTATAAATAATAATAATATTTTTAGCATTATGAATAACAATATTTTTTTAGAATAACATTTAAAATAATAATAATAATTTGTACATAATATTTTGTCTCATTCTTTGTCTTTTGATGAAAATATCCTTTATATTTTAAAATCTTCTGTCATATTAATATTAGTTTTAATCGACTAAAATGACGATAGTCATTTAATTTTAATCGCCACAGATGACTGCAATATGACACAAAATATTGACTAAATTTAAAGGATATTTTCATCAAAAGTAAAAAATTATGACAAAAATGGTGTAAGTTATTATTATTATTGATGATGATGAGGAGGAGGAGGATCATTTTTACACCTTTTTTTCATAATTTTTTTCTTTGGATGAAAATATCCTTTAATTTTAGTCAATATTTATTGTCATACTAATTATATATAATACTTTATATTTACTTTATCTTTTTATATATTGATTAATCAGTGCATGTTATTCCTATTATTATTAATAGTTATTAATAAATAATAATAATTATTAATAATAATAATATGAATAATGTAGTTTTATTTTTTACCCAAAGTTAATAATAATAATAATAATATATGATAAATGACTTTGACATATTCCTCTTATATTTACCACTTTAAATGCATATTGCCCACTCTTTGCTCTTTTCCAAAAGCCACCGGGTGGCGGTGAGCCCGGGTGCGAGGGCCCTTTCATCGCTGCTTGCAGCTTTAATTATAATTATTATTATAAATAATAATAATATTTTTTTAGCATTATGAATAAAAATATGTTTTGAGAATAACATTTAAAACAATAATAATAATTTTTACATAATATTTTGTCTCATTCTTTGTCTTTGGATGAAAATATCCTTTATATTTTAAAATCTTCTGTCATATTAATATTAGTTTTAGTCGACTAAAATGACGATAGTCATTTAATTTTAATCTCCACAGATAACTGCAATATGACACAAAATATTGACTAAATTTAAAGGATATTTTCATCAAAAGTAAAAAATTATGACAAAAATGGTGTATGTTATTATTATTATTGATTATGATGATAATTGTTTACACCTTTTTGTCATAATTTTTGTCTTTGAATGAAAATATCCTTTAATTTTAGTCAATATTTATTGTCATACTAATTAATTTGAGTTAATTAGTTATTCATTTAGTTTTTAAAAATGCCATTTAATTTTGGTCGACTAAAATGACTACAATTATTTTTTACGGTTTTATGCATCACATTACACATGTTTTCCATCCTAAAATTTTATGTTGACTTTTTGTTTTGTTTTTTGGATGACGTATTGGTTTGTTACATCTGACCTCTGCAACTTATGTGTATCATCATATTTGTTTTTGTCGCCCATACTCGATTTGGCTGCTGACTGGAGTAAGTAGCATGGAGTATAGGATGTTATTGTATGATAGCTTGTTTTGGGAATGACAGTATTTCTTGTCAATAAACACACAAACACAATTAGTGCTCATTTATCTTCTGTTGTAGTGGCTCTCAACGCTTCTTCTCCATTAGGCCTAGAAAACATCTCTGATTACTCAATGGTGAGCTGCAACTCTCATGTATTTCATAAGCCTGTGTTTAACGTCAGTTTTTCTTCCAAGCAAGCATAACTATTACTTTTACAATCCCTTTCTCTTTGTGTTTGTCTCTCTTGTTGTCTTTGTCCACACGTGATCTCACTCCTCCACTCAGTTCAACTTCTCTGCTCTGGACTGGAATCAGCTGAGTAAGAAAGAGTGCTTGAGTTTCGGCGGTTCCCTGGTGGGCAAATCCTGCAAATACGTCCCTGATCTGGCCATGCTGTCTTTCATTTTGTTCTTCGGCACTTATTCCATGACCATCTCGCTCAAGAAGTTCAAGGCCAGTCGTTACTTCCCCACAAAGGTTGGAAAACTGTATTTCCCTTGCATGTCAACACACTGCCACATGGAGACGGTATTCCTTATCCCAGTCCATATTGTATATATTGCTGTCCCCCCAACTTCTGGTTGTTTTTTGTTCTTTTTCTCCAAGTGTCGCACCTTGTTAGCGGATTTTTCCATAATTGTATCCATCCTGGTCTTCTGCGCTCTGGATTATGTGATGTCCTTGGACACTCCCAAACTGCATGTACCCACCCAGATAAAGGTCCAGCATGTGTTGTCTTCTCTGTCTTAATGTTTACGTTTTTATACTGGTTATATCTGAATGAAATGTTGCTTTCAAGTCATCATTGTCTATTAGAGAAAAGTGCACATGAATGCCACCAAATGGTTGCATAAAGTGGGGAATTCTGAATTTTCTTTGGTTCATCAGTGCATGTTATTCCAATAATTAAAAAATATATTTTTTATTCAAAAGTAGGTATGGTTAATATTCATATTAATAATATAGTTCTAAATATTTGAGTCAATAATAATAATAACATTTTCTTCAAAAATAATTATTATTCATAATACCACTATTTTCTTTATTATTTTTAAAATAATAAAAATTAGTATATTAAGAAGTTTTATTATTAGGAATAATAATTACTTTTGAATAAAAAAATAATATTGATAATAATCATCATTTTTGTCTTTTGATGAAAATATATTTTAAATCTAGCCAATATTTTATGTCATATTAATTGATTTTAATCAATATTACTCTGATTCTAACTGAGTTTTCTTTAAGTCCCGACTTCCCAAATTTGTATTGTACCAGAACAAAAATGATACTTTTTGATTTATGAAATGATTTAACCATTTTTATTAGGTTACACTATTCTCCCATCGTAACATTTATAATAATAATGGCAATAATATTATTTAATTGTATTTGATAATGCATATTATGGTAAAATTGAATATTATTGTTACATTTTGAATCATAAAATTGTATAGGACATTTCAAGCTGTAAGTGTTTCAAGGACATAAAATACAGAAAATGTACAATGACAGTTCATTAATAGATAAAAGTATTACATATTTAAACTAAATACATGAAATTATTATTTTTTAATTTATTACTTAAAATATGAACATGAGACCATACAGTATAAAAACTACATTCAAATATTCATTAAAAAAAAATTCATCTGAAAACACATACACACACAAAATGAAAATCACATTACATTTGAAAAATTACATTGTATTTATGACTTCTAAAAGTCATAAAAACTTCTCAGAAAGGCTTGAAGGCATCAAACATGTTACTGCTGCATTTTCAAATCTACCGCCCTTTTGTCTTATAAAGCATCTTCTCTTGTTCTCTAGTTTTCTGCATCTTTATCTTTCTTTTTTCCTCTGTAAATGTGCAGCTTCGGAAGCTCATCAGTGATTTTGCAATCTTCATGTCAATCATGACATTTGTTGGTCTTGATTTGTTTATGGGGCTTAAAACACCTAAACTGATTGTGCCAACCGAATTTAAGGTGCGTTGTGCTACGGATACACACGTATCTTTCTTTACCTCCCGACTGCATCTATTTGAGCTTTTTCTCATGATCATGTACTAACATCACATTAATCCACTGTGTTTTACAAAACACAGCATCTGATTTCAGTGACATCCGCTGGTTACTGCTATGCTTTCATCAGTGTCGTTGTGTCTGTGTAGCCGACGCGGCCGGATCGAGGCTGGATCGTTATGCCTTTTGGGAAGAACCCGTGGTGGATGTGCTTGGCCAGTTTTGCACCTGCTCTTCTGGTCACCATCCTCATCTTCATGGATCAGCAGATCACAGCTGTCATCGTCAACCGAAAAGAGAACAAACTAAAGGTTTGAGTGTCACACTCTGCAGCAGCACTCATTCTCACACCCTAGCAACCACCCAAGACACCCTAGCAACTGCATACTGTAGAAATGTGGAAGTGTTGTTCCACAGTGTTGTTAAAGGGATAGTTCACCCAAAAATGAAAATGTTATGTTTATCTGCTTACCCCCTGGGCATCCAAGATGAAGGTGATTTTGTTTCTTCAGGAGAACACAAACGAAGATTTTTAACTGAAACCGTTGCAGTCTGTCAGTCATATAATGTAAGTCGATGGGAATCACGGCTTTGAGAGTAAAACAAAACATACACAAACAAAACCTAATTAAACCCTGCGGCTCGTGACGATACATTGATGTGTAAAGACACGAAACGATCGGTCTGTGCAAGAAACTGAACAGTATTTATATCGTTTTTTCCTCTGATTCACCGCAATGTCCAAACTGTCCTGAGCGCGTTCTGCTTTATGGCGGATCGCAGACTTATAAGTGCATTACGCTCAGGACAGTTCGGACATTGCGGTGAATCAGAGGTAAAAAACGATATAAATACTGTTCAGTTTCATGCACAAATCGATCGTTTCGTGTCTTTACACATCAATGTATCGTCACGAGCCGCAGGCTTTGATTTGGTTTTGTTTGTGTATGTTTTTTTTTTACTCTCAAAGCCGTGATTCCCATTCACTTCCATTATAAGACTGACAGACTGCAACGGTTTAAGTTAAAAATCTTTGTTTGTGTTCTACTGAAGAAACAATGTCACCTTCATCTTGGATGCCCTGGGGGTAAGCAGATAAACATCAAATTTTCATTTTTGGGTGAACTATCCCTTTAAAACATCTTAATGGTCCTGAAATAGACTTTATTTTCTCCATGCTAAATATTTTATTTTATTTTTATTCTAAAAAAAAAACTCTTGAAATTTTTTGGGGGAAAAAAGATAAATTTTCATTAAAGTAATGCCACACTGCAAAAAAAAATTAAAATAAATCAAAAAGATCTTAAATATGCTTTATTTTCTCAAAGTAAAATTATATTTTATTTTATTTTAATGGCCCTAAATAGGTTTTATTTTATCTGTTAAATATTTGAATTAATTGTATTATTATTACGTCAAAAAATATAAGAGATATTAAATAGGCTTGTTTCTTTATGTAAAATATTTTATTTTATTGGCCCTAAATAGATGAAAATTATTTCAGAATAAATTTTATTCTGAAAAATAAAAATTTTGAAATGTTTGTTAAAAATGCTCAATTTTCATGAAAATAGTGCCATACTGCAAATATACAAGTAAATCTAAAAAATAAATAAGTATTTATGTATGTATGTGATGAAAAATGACCTGGAGTTTTGTGAGGTCCACCATATGTGAGCTTGTGTATTAAGAAGTCAAACTAAACCTATTAAAAAACAATTTCAGTAATTAATATAAAGCTGAAATGAAATAAAACGTAAATATTTGATGAAAAAAAAATAGTACTAAAGTGACTAAAATGGGAATAAAAATAAAGGTAAATAGAAATATTACAAAAACTAAAACTAATACTGTAAGCACATGACAGAAGTACTAAACCTTAAACTAAAAATAAAAGCTAATTCAAAATATTAATAAATACTATGATAATATATGAATAATACTAAAATAATACTGACTCAGAACACCTTAGGAACCGTATAGAAAAGCCTTGATGACCATTCACAATACTGTGGCACTTGAATAGGTAATATGCATGCATGTCCACAGGCAGTAGTGTGTCGTTCCATGTAGCACCGCTAAATGTCTTCTTCCCGTTTTACTTGAGCAGAAAGGTTGTGGTTATCATCTGGACCTGTTCTGGGTGGGCATCCTCATGGCTGTCTGCTCCTTCATGGGTTTGCCCTGGTACGTAGCAGCCACAGTCATTTCCATCGCCCACATCGACTCTCTGAAGATGGAGAGTGAGTCCAGCGCTCCTGGCGAGCAGCCACAGTTTCTTGGTGTGCGGTAAGTCAAAACCAGACTTTTGCGTAGAATTTAGCACAAGTATTTTGTCATGTAGTTGTGAGGAGCATTATGTTTGTGTTTAACGCAGGGAACAGAGACTCACAGGCATACTGGTGTTTGTCCTCACTGGGGTCTCTGTCTTCCTTGCACCGGTACTGCAGGTAATCAGAACAGTCTTACTTTATTTGAATCAAATCATGCTCATTTTTTGCAGTGCAGAAACTGCACAAATACTTTTGTGTATTTCTGCATAGTACATCCCTATGCCTGTGTTGTATGGTGTTTTCCTGTATATGGGCGTCGCTTCTCTCCATGGCATTCAGGTACATGTCGCTCTGTAAATCTGTAGTTCAGATTTAATAATTCATCCAAAAATGAAAATTTGCTGAAAATTTCCTCACCCTCAGGCCTTCCAAGATGCAGAGGAGTTTGTTTCTTTATCAGAACAGATTTGGAGAAATGTAACATTACATCACTTGCTCACCAATGGATCCTCTGCAGTGAATGGGTGCCGTCAGAATGAGAGTCCAAACAGCTGATAAAAACATCGCAATAATACACAAGTAATCCACTCCAGTCCATCAGTTAATGTCTTGTGAAGCGAAAAGATGTGTGTTTGTAAGAAACAAAGCCATCATTGGGATGTTTTTAATTTCATACTATTGCTTATGGCTAAAATCTCTAGTGAAAAAGGATGTATGCACAGCGAAACCAGTTCAAAAAAGCTCTAAACAAATATGTGGGGGGATTTTGATGTGAGAAAACAACAGTGCATGGACTTTCTCACTGGAGGAGGCATTATTATGGATTATGAACTCGTATTTTGGCCAGAAGCAACAGTTTAAAGTTAAAAATGTCTTTTCACTTCACAAGGCATTAACTGATGGACTGGAGTGGTGTGGATTATTGTGATGTTTTTATCAGCTGTTTGGACTCTCATTCTGACGGCACCCATTCGCTGCAGAGGATCCATTGGTGAGCAAGTGATGGAATGCTACATTTCTCCAAATCTGTTCTGATGAAGAAACAAACTCATCTACATCTTGAATGACCTGAGGGTGAGGAAATTTTCAGCAAATTATACTTTTTCCTTACAATAGTTCACCCAAAAATGAAATGTTTTTCATCATTTACTCACCTTCATGTTATGGGCCTGTATTATTATGATTCTTTGAAGCATAAAAGGAGAATTATCTGAGTTGCTCATTTCCATACAACAAAGATGGATGATGGTTTAACCTCTCAAGCTCCAAAAGGCTTTAAAAGTAGTTTTGCACTATATACCAACTCTTTTTGTGTGAGAAAGAAAATAATACAGTGTTGGAACTATTATATAAATATATTTCCTTCGGTAGATTTCACCAGACTTTCCTATTTTGTTCAGTTTTGGGAGAGGATGAAGCTGTTCCTCATGCCAGCCAAGCACCAGCCAGATTTCGTCTTCCTGCGGCACGTACCCCTGCGGCGCGTGCATCTCTTCACTCTGGTGCAGATCACCTGTTTGGCCGTCCTCTGGATCCTCAAGTCCACTGTGGCCGCCATAATTTTCCCTGTCATGGTGCGAGTTCTGCACAAGTTCTGCTTCTCTGGACCAATCACTAGAAATGTGTTTCAAATAAAAACTGATGTGGGATGTATAGGTAAATCTCATTAAGAGATGGATAGGTCATATTTCAACCCAGAATCTAAAGAAAAAACTCAAATAAATGTTGAAAATATACTTAATTTTCATGAAAATTATTTCATGATGCAAAAAAAATAGTAAAGATCTTAAAATAGGCTTTATTTTTTCTATGCAAAATATTTTATTTTTATTCTGGAAAAAAAAAACAATATATACGTAATTGTCATGAAGATAATGTCATACTTCAAAAAAGTCTAAAAGATCTTAAATAGGCCTTATTTTCTCTAAGCAAAATATTATTTTATTTTATTTTACATCTTAATAGTCCTAAAATATGCTTTATTTTCAATATGTTTTACTTTCTCTTTACAAAATATTTTATTTTATTCTGAAAAGTAAAAAAAACAAATAGTTGAAATATGCTTCATTTTCATTAAAATAATGCCATGCCGCAAAAATGTAAAAGATCTTAAAATAGGCTTTATTTTCTCTTTGCCTAATATTTTATTTTACATATATTGTTGTTTTTGTTTTTTATTGTGGGCTAAAATGTGACCTGGATTCTTCATCAGATCCACCCAATATGTGACTCTCAGAACATAATTATCATGTCTTGTACCTTTTGTATTTGGATACCGTTTGTTTGGCCTATTGTCATGTGACCGGTTCCTCCATCAGATTCTGGGCCTGATGGTCGTGAGGAAGACTCTGGACCTGATCTTCTCGCAGCATGATCTGGCATGGCTGGATGACATCCTGCCCGACAAGGACAAGAAGAAGAAGGAGGATGAGAAGAAAAAGAAAGAGAAGAAGAAAGCCAAGTCGGAGGAACACAACAACGGCGATGAAGAGGTAAGAACAACCATCATCAGATGTGTGAGATGTTCTTGAACACACAGAAGATCTTGTGATGTTTGAGTGTGTAGTGATTTAATCTTTGATGGTTTTTCTTTTGATGCCACAGTGTTGCTGAAAAGACACTGTATAACACTTACTACTATTTATTATGTCCCTCTTAATAACCATAGTTCAATCATGACAACTCTCTGAGCATTTTAGCATGGTGATGGATATGACAATGTTAATGTATTTGGTCTTGGCGGAACAGATCTGCTACGCTGCTGCTGAATTGCTGCTGCTGTTGGTTATTGCGGTAGTTGTAGATTATTGCTGCTGCTGCAAGCAAGTACAGGAACTTGCTACTGCCAATGCATATGGCGATACACCAAGTCGTTTAACTCTCTGAATATCATCGGTTACGTTAACAACCCCTCGCCTGCACCATCTAGATTTTCATGACTGAACTATATATTTGTCGTCTTGGTTGTAAGGTCTCTGTTTCCTCATTGTGTAATTTGTGGTCATTTGTAGAGTGTTGAATGTTGTTTTTTGCATGAAATATTCGTTTATTCAGAGTCCAGAATTAACAACTTGCTTTGCATAAATGAAACTCTTACTGGCCATTTGGCTTTTAGTAGGAACTGCAACAAAGTGCATGATTTAAATCGCAATATCTCTCATTATTCATCCGATGTAAGCACATTAAGTCAAAGTACCTTGGTTTTTTGTGAGAACCAACCAACCAAGTTCATTTTGGACTCTGGGTACTTACCCTTACAAAACATACACTACTGTTCAGAAGTGACTTATAGATTTTAAAGTGAGTTTAGATTTGTAATGTTTTTGAAAGAAGTATCTTATGCTCACCAAGGAAATATTGCTTCAATTTAAAACAACTGTTTTCTATTATATATTCTGTATTCTATCATAAATGTTAATAAATTTTTTAATGACAATAAGTAAATATTTAAAATATACATATATTATATATTTTATTTTATGTATGTGTCTGTGTATATTTATATATATATATATATATATATATAATTTTATTAACAATAATTAAAACATTTAAAAAAATATAAACTCCAGTTAGTGTCACATGATCCTTCAGAAATCATTCTAATATGATTTGCTGCTCAATAAACATTTCCTATTATTACCAATGTTGAAAAAGTTGTGCTGCTTCATTTTTTTGTGGAAACCGTGATACATTTTTTTTTTCAGGATTCTTTGATGAATAGAACGTTCAAAAGAACAGCATTTATTTGAACTAGGAATCTTTAGTAAAAAATTATAAATGTCTTTACTGTCACTTTTGATCAATTTAATTTAATGTGTCCTTGCTGATTAAAAGTATTAATTAAATAAATAAATAACACAGTAGTGTACCTGCATGCATATCATCTGTTGCAACTGTGTCGTCTTCTCCCAGTCAAATTGTCTCAAAGACTCCCTCCCGTCAGTGAAGATTCCTCTGAAGCCAGTGAGTCCGTCATGTTGTCCAAACCCTCCTAATTCTGACCCCTCAGCCTAACTGTGAGTACTGGGATGTAAGCAAATGACAGTTTTACGTGGTTTAAACTTTAAACTCATATATATATTAAGATATGTTCCTTTTTTTTCTTATTCATGTTTGAGTAGAAGTATCACCCTTATTCTTGCGGCCATGGCGAACTGAACCAGGATCTGGACAGATTGACATCCCTTACATGAACCTGAAGCATCCGGCTGATCAAACACACAAACCACATTTGTCCTCACGCTTACGATGAGATACCACCTGAGTCACAAACACAGCATCACTGGCGCTTTCCCAAACACACGAGGCTCACAGATGTATGATATTTTTGTGTACTTTAACCAACGCAGCCAGTGACGCACGTTTCCAAACCCACATTGACCATATTGTGCGTGAGTCATTCAGACCTTGGATTTTACTCAAGATCCTTCATTTAGATCTAGCTGAGCTGTGCCAGTGTGAATGGCTGAGCTCACAACACACAAACACTTGCTGCGTGTTAAGATCAGCTCATGAGATTTTAACTCTATTCAGAGAAGACCTGGAAAGACTAAAATAAGAAGCGGAAGATGTTTAAACTAAGTTTATGATTTTATTATCATATTGTATAAATATATTTGAACCGTATGATATTAAATATGGATTTCATAGAATCTAGTGAGAGACAGTCGCAAATAAATTCAATTATAGTTAGAAAGACAGTGTATCTAGTGAATTCAGTTGGATTAAATTGGTTGTATTTCAATTAAAACATATATTCCAAACATAGATTCTGAGTTCTTATTGTAGCATTTTATATTTAAAAATCAGAAATGTGTATCTGAGTAATGCTGAAATGTTTCCAGACAGTAATAAATGAGTCTTTGTGATCTGTGAGAACAATGCACAGACTTTGTTTTATTCAGATTCTGATTGTTCACTCGTGTTTTGTTCAAATAAAGAATGAAAGAGGGCCGAATATATTTTCATTGTCATTTTTGAATGTCAACCCTTAGATTCCCATGTATACATTTTAGTGCTGTCAAACGATTCATCGCGATTAATCGCATCCAAAATAAAAGTTTTTGTTTACATAATGTGTGTACTGTGTATATTTATGATGTGTATATATAAATACACAAACATACATGTATATATTTAAAAAATATTGACATATATATATATATATTTTATATATAAACAAAAAAAAATTCTTAAATATATACATGCATGTGTGTATATTTATATATACACACATCATAAATATACACAGTACACACATGTAAACAAAAACTTATTTTGGATGCGATTAATCGCGATTAATCGTTTGACAGCACTAAATTTACAAGCTTTTTGGACATTGTACTATGGTAATACTTTTTTTGACATACAGAATGGTATACAGACAGTATCTTGGAGTACCGTGTAAATACCTTCATATATAAATACATACTAACTACAATACAAACTAACATCGTTTAAAAAATGTTTTTTGAAATTAAATAAATGTTAACTGAAATTTAAGCCACCACTGACATTATATATATATATGAGAGAGTGATTTATTTATAGTAACTACAGTATTTTTTGGCATAAATTAAGGTTATAATGGTGAATTTATAGCAGGGTTTGCAAACAATAATATAAATGATTTTATATTGAAATGCCGCAAATAAATGCACAGATGATACACTAAAATAATTGGGACTTTAACTGAAAGCAATCAATCATGTTTTGATCATTTATATATAAATTCTAAATATATTGGTACAAATTATAGGGAAAATAATTTAAATGTATTAGCGTGAAGATATTCTAAGTATAATAAGCAAATTATGTGTATATATAAATTATGTATTAAAAACTGTATTTCCTAAATCCTTCTCCGTGAATGGCCTCTTGACGTCGCTCACACGTCCACGCACGTGACGTCACGTCCATTCACACGCGCTGATTTGACGGGAATTACTCGACTTCCGGCCGAGGAGCAACACAAGAGACTTCGCTGCGGCGGCGGAGAGACACAATAACAAAGCCATGGGAGAAATGTCCGGCTTCGAGAACAGACTGCAGTCGTACTCGTCCACACAGCTGCACGAGCTGCTGGAGGACGATGGCAAGCTCCGGGAAATGGTCGGGGAGATGGAGGAGGTGAGTGAGCGCATACGCGACAGCCATCAAACGCTCATTTAATCCCGGAATAGGGTGAGAGTTTGTTCTGACAGTGAGTGCAGATGAGTGACAGGTGCTCGGGCTTTCATTGCACTGCTGCTGTCGCGTTTTGCGTTATTCTGTGGTGTTCTGGGACAGAGACTTTTCACCTTTGACTACATCAGTATTGATTTATTGGAAAGTGTTGTCGACTGAAGGAGTGGCTGGATAGTGTCAGACTTCAGAATGGAGGCAGTATATGAACTGCCCTTATAAAATAAAGACAAAAAGATGACTGTGATATAAAGACTGGTTAGTATGAACGGACTGCTTCTGTCAACCTCTTCTGGATTGATCAAGTTCAGCATCAGTTCAGCAGTTTCTTTGCTAAATATAGCAATGCTGATGATAATCAATAATATGATTATTGTTTATTAGTGTTTCATGTAAAACATTTTTTAGTCCTTTTAACTTTTCCCACCTCTAAAAATGTCAAATATGCTTTTTTAGATTATACATATTATTTTATTCATTTAATTGTAAATGGTTGTGTATAATTATTTAAAAATTTAAAAAAACATGTTATATTGTTCTAATATATAAAATAAATTACTATAATATTAAATGAATAGATTATTTATAGCTATATTAATATTTTTGTCAGAATATTTGCGGCCTATATATAACTTATTGCTATATATTAAATTATTGTTTTATTACATTATTTTAGGCCCTTTTAGATGCTTTTTTATGTTCTTATGTTTATGTGTGTGTGTATATATATATATATACTCTCTTAAGCAGTACATTTTAATAAATTATATTAAGTTTTATTTAAATATATTTTAAATTTTATACATATTTTAATACTTATTAAATTATAGTTTTATTACATAATTTTAGGTCCTTTTTTATTTCCTTATTTTATAGTGCATGGGCTGTGTAAATAATCTTGCATTGCACTGCTGAGTAGTTGAAAAGATCCTTGAAGTATGGTCTGTGACTCACAGATGCAGGACATGCAGCAGAATAAAGAGCTGACGATCGCCAGTAACCGCAGCCTGGCGGAGCAGAACCTCAACCTGCAGCCTGAACTGGACCATCAGAAGATCCAGCTGACCAAACGCTACTGCTGTTTACAAGATCTGCACGAGTCCTACCAGCTCCGCAGGTCCACCCTAGGTCAGATATGAATTTACCTCACTCACACTCTTAGTTTTTCTATTGTTTTCATACTTGCTGAAGCTAATGACTGAAAAGTAGTTTGACCAATAGCGTGCAGGCATGGTACATAATCAACCAATCGTGGCATGCGAGAAGGCGGGATCTACAGAGAAAGTCAAAGCAATGCAAATACATGTGTATAAAAGGTATGAGGACTGTAGAGAGAACGTCAACATGAAAACAAACCCAAAACCATTAGAAATCTCAGCCAGGACATGTCCCGGAAAAAAACACCAGCTTATTTAAACACATTGAGCAAAAGTGATGCAGAAAAGAAAAGTTAGTGAAGAGAAAACATCCTGCAGCATTTGAGACATGCATGATGTTCAGACATTTTTTAAGCATGACCCGAGTATCCAAATACTTTGCACAATTTAAACTATGTAAATATTCCGGTGAAGACGGGACCACAAATGATTTATCCAAACCTTTTTTGTCTTCCTCCTTTGGTGTAAAACAATAGGTGAACCTGTTTGGTCACATAATGCTTCCTCTTTATTTCAGTTGCAGCTGGTACTGATCATCCCAAGTCAAATCTGCACACAAATAGCAGTGTTAAAGGGCTGTATTTTGTGCTCTATATTTATCCAGTTTTCTCTAGGATTTATTTTAAGACACCTTTTATATTGTGTTGTCAGCGTAATGATTTAGCAGAGCAGACGTTTTGAAAGTGAGTTTATCAGGGTCCGCTTAGAATTACACTGATACAAAGACTGCTTGAATAATTCCCCAAAGAAACTCTACACTGATGTAAAGTTATCCACACTGTAAAACACTCCCTCTATTATTAGACCTGTGCTCTTTTCTAATGTGTCTGTTTGGTGACTATCCGGTACAGCATTTCTATAAAAGCAATGCAAAATGCTCACAGCGCTGTCTCTCTTATTTTAAAGGAATAATTCACCCAAAAATGTACATTTTCTTGCCATCAGGCAATCCAAGATGTAGATGAGTTTGTTTCTTCACTGGAACAGATTTGGAGAAATGTAGCATTACATCACTTGCTCACCAATGGATCCTCTGCAGTGAATGGGTGCCGTCAGAATGAGAGTCCAAACAGCTGATAAAAACATCACAATAATCCACAAGTAATCCACACCACTCCAGTCCATCAATTAATGTATTGTGAAACAAAAAGCTGCGCATTTGTAATAAACAAATCCATTATAAAGTCGTTCCATCATAAAGACAATAACTGATTGGAGTAGTGTGGATTATTGTGATGTTTTTATCAGCTGTTTGGACTCTCATTCTGACGGCACCCATTCACTGCAGAGAATCCATTGCTGAGACACTGATGCAATGCTACATTTCTCCAAATCTGATGAAGAAACAA